GGGGGGGGGGGGCTTGGCCCCACCTTTTCTACTTTCCCGAGGATCTCATCCTTTCATTCGTTTCCAGAAGCAAGGCAGGCCTGTTTGTTTTGCTGAGGACCTTTCTGATAAGCACCTTCCTGCAGCTGTGGAGAAATCCTGGGACGTTAGGCGACAGGCGGCCACGGGGAAGGTCTGGAGCCCAGGGACAGCAGCCCCCAGGCCTTTGCAGAGCTGAGCCAGGTACCGATTCTCCTGTCCAGACCCTTTTCCCTCTTCACCTCTGTGCCCGGGGTCAGCGCCGTGCCCCCCGCGGGCACCCACCTGTAGCCTGTGTTCCGCACCCAGAGCACCCAGAGAGTTTTCAATCACAAGAAGCCTTTAATGCAAATCCCGGCCTCTCTTGCTTCTTGCTAGATTTTGAAAATTGTCCTGCGCGTGTGGGTCCCCCCGCCCCCCCCACCGCCCCCAGTCCAAGACTGTTCTTTTCAACAACAGCGGGGCTTTCTCCTTCACCTACCTTGGAAATTAAGTCCCAGGAAACGCCAGCGTCCAACTCGTCTCTCGCCGAATTATCACAATCGAAAGGCAAGACCTCCGCTGTGCAGCTTTGGAAGCAGCTGTGTTTTTCTTTTGACTTTTGGGGATAATTACCCAGCTCATGTTGTGATTGCTAATTACTAAGCTAAACTAACGGGCAGAAGGGCTGGGGGAGGGGCTCTTCCAGAGCGTCTTTCCCCAGAGCATTAAATCATCAGAAAATGGAAACAGAAAGTTTAGTGGCCCCGGCAGGTCCCCCCTGTGCTCCGGGCTCCGCTGCAGTCCGCGCTGCGGGAGCCTCGGGCCGGGGATCCCCGGATCCCGGCCAGCAGGGGTGCGGGACGCGGTGGGGGGATCTGATTTAACCAAACCCTGGGCATGCGGGTTTGTTTATCATGAACGAATAACTGATGGGACCGAGAAGTTTTACTTCGTACAAAAACTGGACTCAACCCGGATTCCAGAAACTCGACGGTGTTTTCTATTGAACCAAGAACCAAAAGCAAAGTAAACCTTGTTATATAAATTTTCTTTAAAGCCAGTGGTAACCTTATTTAAAACAGGACTATCTGGTGAATCTTGAACCAGAACCAGTGAAGGCTCTGGGCAGAGGTGTGGCCAGGTCTCAGTCCTGCTGGACATCAGCGCCCCCCCATGAACTCGGATGGAGGCCGGGATGACATCAGTGCCCCCCCCATGAACTCGGATGGAGACCCTGATGACATCAGCGCCCCCCCCATGAACTCGGATGGAGACCCTGATGACATCAGCGCTCCCCCCCCCATGAACTCGGATGGAGACCGGGTGGCAATACTTATGGAAAGGAAGCCCACCTTCATAGGAGGCTGGGGGTTGGGGGTGGGTAATATAATAGCTCAGAAATTTTCCTTTTTTCCAGGAGAAAATGCAATTAGGCCGATTTTGATTACATATGAAATTCTAAACTGGCCCTGCAGCTTTTCTCCTTCCCCTCTTAATATGTAAGCAAATGAGATTCCTCGCAGGCGGCAGCGGAGCCCGGAGAAGCCGGGAGAAGCCTGGGAATCTCAGCGAGGCCCAGGCCCCAGAGGTCAGCGCCGAGGGGGCGGGAGAATTGGGATTCCGATGGTGTCTGCCGGTCGGTCTTCAAACCTCAATCTAGAGACAGCTGACCTTGAGGGGCCATCGGGAACGAGGGCCACCGAAACGGGGGCTCCACTCCCACCGCAGGGGCTGCTCTTGGCATCAGAATGAGGAGGTGGGTGGCGGTCACACCCCAAGACCCCCGTAGCTGCTCAGTTTTAGTTCCCCCATTGCTCCCACAAGGACTCCCAGGAGCCCTTCCCCCCTCCAAGTAGCCCTTGTCCACGCGATGACCAGCGCCGGGGACCTGACCTTTGGGAGGGGTACGTGCTCATGGGCACTACTCCGAGCCTGACCGCTGCCCTAAGCCACCCTCACACATCGGACAGAACACGTGGGGCATGCAGGGGGGACCCTGCCCATCCACGCAGCCAGAAAGCCTGCTGCAGGCAGGATGCAAACTCAGCCCTTCGGCCCTTCCTTCCGAATCTCCTCCCACAGAGGCCAAGGGGGAGAGTGCAACAAAGGAATGACTCACTAATGGTGGGACTTTCAACACTGGCTTTTGCGCACAAACAGGCGGGGAGGTGGGCAGGGCCGGCGTGGGCCGCTCAGATAGCTCCGTGGAATCCAGCACGTCCAGGGGAGGCCCGTGGACCGGATCCGGCTGTGTCCTCGGTGGGGCAGGGAGAGAAGGGGCCTCCGCAATGGCCAACAGCTTGCAAAACGGGCTCCTGTGCCTCGTCCCACTGAACCCTCACGGAGCGTGGAGGGGGTGGGCGTGCCCAGGCCCAGATGAGACGCTCGGGCGCGGGAAGAAAACAGCAACAGTTTGATCTGAGAGGGTCCATCTTCCCGGCCCCATCCATTCAGCTCACCCCCAAAATCATTCTTTGATTAAAGTTTTCTCCATTACCACTTCCGGCTTCCTCCGACGACTTGTTTTTCCCAAAGCAGATTTCAATGTTTACAAGACTGACTGGTTTTAAATCCCCGGGATTCGGCACCAGACATCAAAAACTGTGTTTTCATCAACTAGAAGGCGCGGCAGGAGGGATCCGCTTACATGGTAAAGGTTTGTTGGTATTTCTTCCCCTGCAGCCAAGTGGAAAAAGTTGAAGGAATCTGTTAACATATTGATAGCTTTGAGCACTATTTTAAATTAGCTTTCCGTTCCCCTCCATATGCTTTTCCATTGAATTTAAATAAATTAAACTTCATGGTTCTGGAAGGGATATGGGGGGGCTCCTCCACGTGAGATGTCAGTCAGGTCCGGGCTGTAAGAAACTCATCAGCCACCTGGGGCGACCGGCAGAGAGGAATGAACTGGTCCACGAGGAGCCGGCGGCCCCCCTGGAGGAAGGTCCCTCCGAGAGCTGGTGTCCAGAAGGGACAAGTGATGAAGCCAAGGAGGAGCCAAGGCACCAACCCAGGTGGGTGGGCGGCAGGGGTCTGGGCAGGGGTCTAAGAACAGCAGAGCCTGGTGGGCAGCGGGCGGGGGCAGGGAGAAAGCGACAGGCCCGGGAGGCAGAGGGTCTGCGGAGAGGGACTTGCAGGGAACCCCGCCCCACCGCGGCGTCATCTGCAGGAATAAGTGGAAAAGGGTAAATCCGTGCCGGGATCTGAGGCTCTGCTGCTGACGCGACTTATTTCCACCAGGAGGTGAGATTCTTCTCAGACGTACCCAGGGGCACCTGCGACAGCTGGTACAACTGGCAGGTGGGATTCTTCTAAACGCACGGGCCTCGTTTCTCTCGTTTCGATCTTTGGATTTACAGCTGAGTGTGTGCACGTTGGGCGGGTGCAAAGGTCCCGCCCCCTCCCGGGCCCCACACCCCGGGGCCAGCTCCCGCCCGCAGACCCGGGACGCTGGCGTGGGAGGCGGGGGGTCGAGCGCCGGCGTCTCAGTCTGGTACTGGGTCCACCCTGCTTGGGGGGAGCGAAGGGGGGAGAAAGGAAAGCCATAAACACAAGGTTTCCCCCAAAAAATTATTTAGAGTATTGTCTCTCAATCTATGGCTGGAACACAGTGACTATTTTTATTTTTCTAGTATACATTTTGGTCCTTTCCTACCCACATGTTAATGTTGCATTAACAGCTGAAGAGTTACAATGTTTCCACACAGAAGGCTGTGTTTTTTTGTCTTAATGCTTTCCTACGTTTCCCAATATAGATCGAATGGCTGAATACACTCCATTGAGTGTGTAGGGGCAGAAAATGTCCCCCTTTTTCCCTTCTAGGTTTTCAGCTGGTCTAATAATTAAATGAACATAAAACAGGTTAACAGCGGGAGGGGGAAAAAACAAATTTAATTTCATACATACGAGAGCTCCAAAAATTTAAGGGCAAGTCAGTTGAGGCTAATAGGCCGCCCTGAGCTAAGGGGTGGGCCTAGGGCTTCCGAGAGGAGGGTAATTCACAGGGTGATAAGGAGAACAGATGCTTGTTGATTAGACGTTTGTCCTGCCCAGTAGATCGATCATTTGAATGAGAAGTCATCTCTGCTAATAGCTCTCTCTGGGCCAGGCCCCCTGTTTACAGTCCTATAGGCAATAGAAGGAGAGGTCACAGTTTTTCTTCAGTCTGCTGGGCCTCAATTACCTTCCGCTCAGAATAACCCACGGGCCCACGTGGCACATTTTGTGGTCATGTGTTCTGCTTCCCCTCAAGGACACATGCTACACTGTAACTCAGCTCTTTTCTTATTTTTGGACATTTCAGTCATTTCTGTTTCTCCGTGTTTTGCTTTACTAGTCAACTTACTATTACAAGTGACGGTGAACATCGCTGCGTGTGTGGCTGTGGCTGCCACGCTGTGCCACTGACCATGCCGCACGTGTCTGTGGGTGTGCCCGCTTCATCCCGGCCCCAGTGTCAGCCCTCACTGCTCACAAAGACTGGCGCTTACACCGAACGGCGTCCCCAGCTTCGTCTCTGTAATTATTAGAATTGGCTCACCCATGGGCGATTTTTGTAGCCTTTGCTTGGCTATCTGTAGTCTTGTTGTTTTTATAGATCTGAATGATCCTTTAGATAGCCTTTTATTACGTCCTGTTAATTCTTTGTCAGACACATTTTGAAAACCATGCTATTTTCATTCTTGGTGCAGGTCTCCTCCCGGTGTCCTGGCTTTCACATTTTCTCTTTGCTATTGTCATTCAGACATTTGGAGACCGTCTCTATTCAACTCAGCGAACCTTTGTCAGCACGTCTGTTTCTGTCGCCTGTGAAATGAGCGACTCATTCTCAGCTCTGATAACTGTTCTATTTCCTGTTCTGCTAGTTTATCTAAAACGTAAGTTTCCATATCTGATGCTTGAGTTTGCCTGGGATTATTGGTGTGTGGTGTTCTGTGGATCCAAACCAATCTTTTATCCCAAACGACTAGCCTACTAGCCAACACAATGTAAAAACACTCCCTCCTTAGAACCTGCTTTGGAAAGTGGACTTTGTCACCCTCGGGCCTATCTCTCGGGCTGTCCCATCATCTGTGTCTCTCTGTTCAGGAGCCAGTGCTGAGGTTCCGGAGACTTTGATGATATGCTGGAGGGGCCATTGCTGCGCAGCCCAGGACTCTGCTCCCGTTACCTGTCAGCTGTCCTCACATCCTTCCCACCAAGAACGTGTTGCTTTCGAAGGCCGGTGGCTTACTGTTTTTCCCCCTTCCCACCCCAGGTGAACGCCGGTTTGACACATGACATCCGCTCCTCCTCAAGGGGAGAACTTCGGCTGGATGACTGCAAACGAATTCACGGAACTTGTCTCTCTCACGTCCTTCCTACCTGCGGCCCCCTGACGGCCCCTCTGACGGCCCCTCTGAGGCCTGCTTGCCCAGCTATCATCACAGCTGCCGTCAGTGAGCTGAGAACGGACCCACACTGTTATCAGAGGGGAGCAGGTGCCCGCGCCCCCACCCCGGCTCCTGGTCACAGCCAGTGGCGGAAGAAAGTCAGGGCTGGGAAAGGCCGGGCCCTCCCTCATCTCGGAGGCCAGGGCGGGGAGCCAGGCCCTGTGCGTGCCGGCCCGGGCTGGGCTCGAAGCTTCCTGACCACGGCTCAGGCGCATGGGGGCAGCGTCACCCCGGGCAGGCTTGGGGGGCCTGAGACAGCCCACCAGCCTTACGGAGGCCCCACCCTGCTAAGGAGGATCGGGGGCTGTCTGCACAGGGACCCACCTGGTTCCCTCGGGGAGTTTGGCTGAGTTGCTCTGCGTCAGGCCCAGGTAGGGAGACACCGGGACAACCACCCATGGCCGTCTGTGTGGTGAGGGCGGCCGGGCATAACCCCCACCCACCCAGGGAGTTCATGGAGGGCCGCCCTGGGCGAGCCCACCCCGGGGGGCAGAGGGCACCCCCTGGGCCTGGGGCAGGGCGGTGCGGCTTGGGAAAGGGCCGGCGCCTCCCGCCCTGGGAGCGGCG